CATTGCTTCATTAATTGAAAAATCATCCCCTCAAATTATGAATTGTCCCAATAATCAAATAATGTTAATTATAATTGACAATTATGCCGAGCTTCTCACCGGTTGACAAACCCTATATATATATGGATGCTCAAGACATTACTGGGATTCAACTCAGTATCCAAGAAGGAGTCCGGTCAGCCGTGGCAGATCTAAAGCTCTAGTTGTCCAATTTTCTCGCCCAATATAGATAAAATATGGAGATGGAATTACACGAGGACACAAAGAATTATGTGGATGATTCCATCGAATCAAATAATCAACTCATAATGGATTAATGCAATCTTTGGCTTCCGGATGGATGCCGCGTTTGGATTCAGCGTTGCGCCGACGTTTCGCAACATTGCAGTCTGCATCTTCAGGGCTATGAGCTCCGATTCTGAGCTCCGATGTCTAGGGGTAGTCCTTATATGCCTTCCCTTGTGGTGGTGTGGGAAGGGGAAGGGGGGGAGGTGGTCAGCCAATCATATGTTTTTAATTGATCAGCTGGTCAATTCAAAACCGGGAGGACGGTTTTCCAAATGGGGTTCACTTGATATCCTCTGTCCTTGTTGAGGTTGTTAGGGATTTTATGGATCTCCAAACCCTCTCGGTATTTCCTTTCGAAATACCCTTGAGATTTGGCCAACATTCTGGCTTGGTCGTACTGGATAGTATGTCCAGTGTCCATCCAGTGTTCAGCCAAGGCAGAATGTTCTAAGTAACCGTATTTGGAGCACCGCTGGTGTTCCTTGATCCGTGTACTGATCTTCCTCCCGGTTTCTCTAATGTAGGGGAGGATGGGGCCCCCCTTCAATCGTCAATATTTTCCGATTCAATAGTCCGATTGGGATGAGTTAGAGCTCGTTCTGAAGAATGAAAAATTATCTTCAAAATGAAGTTGAAACTGGGAATTTTCACAATGTCATTCACAAGTTATTGACAATTGAAGGGGGGCCGTTTTGCCCCACCCTCCCCTACACTTTCCCGCATGAGCAGGGGATCTCGTACACTCCTGGTGTGCTCAGAGGTGGTCTTGGATCCTTTGCACTTGGCAGCATCTGTCCGATCTTCTTTGGAGGCTGGAAGATCGTTCGAATGTTATGTTTGCCAAGTACTCAACTTATGCGTTCTGTTGTGCCTCTCAGATAGAGGAGGAGAGCCACTTTTGGTCTTTCCTGGTTTTCCTCAGGATTAGTCTCCACTTCGGGAGATGAGAGCTTGCTCTGTAGCTTCTGCTTGATCTTCCGAATTTGTTGGATGTTATATCCATTCTTGGTCAGAGCTATCTCAAGATGTTCAATTTCACTGTCAACGTTGGAGGGTTGAGAAATTGTCAGTGCTCTATACATTAGGGAGCTAATAACGGAATTCTTCTGGGAGGGGTGGTGATGGGAGGTAGCATTGAGATACCTATCTGTGTGGGCTGGCTTGCGATATACTTGGTGGCCTAGAGTGCCGTCCTCGTTGCGTCGAACCAGGACATCTAGGAATGGAAGACATCTATCTTGTTCAATTTCCATAGTGAACTTGATGCTCACGTGCTGAGTATTCAAGAACTCCAGGAATTCAGTTAGAGCAGTCTTTCCATGTGGCCAGATGACAAAGGTATCGTCCACATACCTGAACCATACAGTAGGTTTCTGAGGTGCTGACTTCAATACTTCGTTCTCGAAGTGTTCCATGAATATATTTGCAATAATCGGGGAAATGGGAGACCCCATTGCCGCTCCCGATTTCTGCTCATAGTACTCTCCTTTGAACTGAAAGTATGTAGAAGTCAAGCAATGCTCAATCAGGGGAAGGAATTGGGAAGAGATGTTGTTGGATTTCTTGATGATTTCCAAGGTTTCTGAGATTGGGACGTTAGTGAAGAATGATTCTACATCAAAACTCACCAGGATATCATCTGGAGAAGTCCGGAGATTTCTCAGTTTGTTGATGAAATCCAGTGAGTTCTGAATATATGAACCATTCAGGCCAGTCAACTTCTGGAGTGGTTTCGTGAGAAACTTGGCCAGCTGGTAAGTTGGCGCTCCAATGTTGCTGACAATGGGACGGAGAGGAACAGACTCTTTATGGATTTTGGGGAGTCCATAGAGTCTAGGAGGAAAGGATTCTTTAGGGGTGAGGAATTTCGTCAGGTCAGCCGAGAAACCAGCCTTCTTCAGCAGATCAGCAGTTTTTCGCTCAATTGTACGAGTAGGGTCCTTCCTAAGTTTAACGTAAACTCTGGAGTCACCCAACATCGTACTGAGCTTACCGGAGTAGTCGTCTTTATCCATAACCACCGTGGCATTGCCTTTGTCTGCCGGAAGAATAATCAGATCATTATTCTCCTTTAGACTACGCAGTGCGAGGCGTTCCTCCCTGGTGATATTGTCACCAGGGGGAGTGGCCTTGTGGGGGATGTTAAACAACTGCTTCCGAATCTCATTGCTGGTCTCCTGAGGAAGATGGTAAATCGCTGCCTCGGTACGACTGATGATTTCCTCGGTGGGGATCTTTTTAGGGGCAACAGCGAAGTTGTGTCCTTTCGCCAACACAGACACTTGTGCTTCACTGAGTTCAAATTTACTCAGATTCTTCACAGTGTGAGTGAGGGTTGGGACTTTCTCCTGGGGGATCAGTTTCTTGAACTTACCCTTCTGACTCTCCGTTCTCATCTCAGCTGTTCGGACTGCTTGTTCGTGTGTAACACGATCGAGAGTCTCCCACAGCTGAGACTCCAACGTCTGAGCCAGAAGAAGGTGGAGATCGAGAAGCTGTCTGGAGAGACGGGCCAGGTTCTTCTTAGCCGCCGTTATTCTCTCCGTGAGCAATCTCAACGAAGCTTGGCGGAGGATGGCATTTGCCTGCTTCGATGAGACAGGATTCCTCAGACGGAGGAATTTCGGTATCACTTGATGGTCACGGTATCTTTTTAAAAAAGTTAGGGAGCACAGTTGGACGTGTAAGGACTTCGTAAGTTTGGTAAATAAATTCACCGACCCAAGAATAGCCTCTCCGTGGAGGCGTTTAATCTTAGTTTTGAGGCTTTCGCGGCCATGATTAATGAAATCTTTGGCTTCCGGATGGATGCCGCGTTTGGATTCAGCGTTGCGCCGACGTTTCGCAAATATTGCTGTCTGCATCTTCAGGGCTTTGAGCTCATAATGGATTATTTGACGAAAAACTCATACACGATAAAATCGTCATGATGTGTTGCAACATCTGACAACGACGCTGCAGAATCAATTTCAATCTGCAGTCAATCAAGCTATCGATAATGCGGTGAAAAGGGAGGTTCAAGATATGAGAAATGAAATCATGGAAATTTTAACAGATAAGTCGATTCCTCCTCATTCTAACACGCCATTTCTACAATATTCTAACACATTTATTCAAAACGCTAACCAACTTCACACTACATTCATAAATCCTTCTAAAAAATCGCACTCTCTTCTATTTACATCTCAACAAAATTTAATAAAAATTGCCAACGTTATGATGGAACTGGTACACCATGGTTGCAATATGAGCGACGTTTCGACATTATTGCAAATGAAACTGGATGGTCAGATAGAGTAGCCACATCCTATCAACTTTCTTCCCTTCGTGGTAAATCTCAATCAATTGTTGAGACACTTCCGTTTTCCGATATAACGGATATTAATCAATTAAAAGATGTCCTCAATTCTCGATCCGAGGTACAGCAATTTTATCGTGTATATCGTTCCCAACTATGCGCTTGGGTTCAAAATGAAAACGAATATTGAAAAACTCATTTATTTATTACTTATGCAGGAGATGCAGAATTTAACACATCTCACATGTTTTGATGCTGCGGAAATAATTAAAGATGAAATTGCATGCGAACAATTCATCAACGCTCTCAGTAGTGGTCGGATTGAATCGGCTGTATGTTTAGAACATTTTGAAAGTTTGAATTTAGCACTTCAACGTGCGTTGGAAATACCCGCTGTGCACAACATTATTAACAATAAAGCATAAAATCAAAATTCCACTTCAAATCAGAATAATCAATTGATTAATAATTTCAATCCACCTCGTCATAAGTCCAATAATCAATTTAATTCAAATAACCGTCGTCATCTCGTTTGTGCAATTTGTGTTATTCCCGGACATCACACAAAGGAGTGCCGTAAAGGTCGTAGTTCGGATTCAAATTCAAATACAAATTTGAAGAAAACCTTCAATCAAAACTCTTCGTCAAACTATTCAAATCAGAATCGTAACCTCAATCAACGATCAAACCCGAATATCAAATTTGGAAAACGTAACAATTAAAATCAATATCAAGTGTCAACAAATAATTTGCGGACTCACAATAGGAATTGACACGGGAATCCGCGTAATTGCTTCTTTACTCAAGATCGTACTGAAACTGATTGACCGAAGATTGATTTTAAGATTTGAATATTTTTTTGTGGCGCGAGCCACAATAGATTAATCTCTTGAATTTATTTCATAGCGTCTCGAATATTCCAAACGTCGGAATTCGGTATGAACGTCATTCTGTCCTTGTCCCTCACGAAATTTCAGGACAATTCTCGAACCTTCGATAAACGAAGGTATATAAACGCTCCCCGGCGGAAAAAGTCAGTCTACTTTTGAGTACGCATGTAAACACTTGCCTTTAAATATACAGTTCTTGTCAACACCGAGTTATTATTCTTGATACCCGCACCAAACCGCCACAACTGGTGACCCGACGTGATTGAAGTGAATAGTTTTCTCGCGTTTTCTTTGATTATTAATTATATCACGTTAACGCCGCGACTGTTCCGCGAAATTCGAGTGCATTTAGATCGCGCATTTTGTGAGTGGTTTGTGTGCCGCGTACGCTCGTGTGTTGTATCGTTCACGCGCTCCATTCGAGTTCTTTTCGTGAATTTCGGTGCATTGCTGAGCACCCAAGGATGCTCTGCTGCACTGAATATTTTTCAGACTTTCTCTAGTGTTGTTTTTCGCGAAACAAAATGCCCGATAGTGTCGAGGTGCGCGAAGCTGACAATGGAGCCTCGCTCCAACGCGTTTCGATACGATGTCCGGCCTTCAATGCCGAACGTCCAGCGTTATGGTTCGCCCAGCTCGATGGACGGTTTCATCTATCCGGGATGAACGATGAAGTAACGAGGTATTACTATGCCTCGTCTCATCTCAATCCCAAGGCCGCTGCTGAGATGCAGGATATCCTCCTAAATGTGCCTGCCGAGACACCGTACACACGTCTCAAGGAGGCGCTCGTCGAACGCCTCACGCTCTCCCGGGACGCACGACTCCAGCAGCTGCTCGACCGAGAGGTATTGGGTGACAGAAAGCCCTCGCAATTCCTGCGTCATCTCAGGAGTCTCGACGATACGGTTCCTGATAACATTTTACGCACCATGTGGCTCAGCCGACTGCCGATGACGACGCAGTCCATCCTGGCACCACAAGCGGACATGGCTCTCGACAGGCTTGCAACACTCGTCGACAAACTGCACGAGATCGCATTGCCGGTAGCCCACATCAATGACGTCCAGGAGCCAACGTCCTCAGTCCTCGAGACACGCTCTTCTCGTCTCGAAGCCACAATCTGCGAGCTGGCATTGATCCTAAAAGGGCAAAGCGTCGCACGTTCTCGCTCCCGCTCTCGATCGCGTTCTCGAGCAACCTCGCCAGCACCCGACAACAACCAGTGCTGGTATCATGGAAGATACCACGACAGGGCTAGACGTCGCAAAGCACCTTGCGGATCGTTAGCGGCGGTNCCTCGAGACACGCTCTTCTCGTCTCGAAGCCACAATCTGCGAGCTGGCATTGATCCTAAAAGGGCAAAGCGTCGCACGTTCTCGCTCCCGCTCTCGATCGCGTTCTCGAGCAACCTCGCCAGCACCCGACAACAACCAGTGCTGGTATCATGGAAGATACCACGACAGGGCTAGACGTCGCAAAGCACCTTGCGGATCGTTAGCGGCGGTTAACGTTCCCTCTTTCAAATCCAGCCGCCTCTTCGTAACCGATCGCGCCACCAAAATCCAATACTTGGTGGATACTGGCGCCGATCTTTGTACATATACGAAATCTCTCGCTCCTGGAGCAAAGAAACGAGTTAACTATACGCTTATTGCAGCCAACGGCTCGACAATCAACACGTACGGCTGCATAACTCTATCGCTCAACCTCGGCGTACGGAGGGATTTCACATGGCGCTTCGTAGTGGCGGACACAACCAAACCAATTATCGATGCCGATTTTTTGGCCCATTTCAGCATTTTACCTGACCTGAAGAACGGCTGCCTTATCGACTCAACAACTGGATTAACGATCTCATGCAAAGTGTCGCTATCCAGCATCGTCTCGGAAATCAAGGTTACGTCTGTCGATCCTTCATGGTCAGATCTCCTCGGTTAGTTTCCCAATTTAACGAACCCCGAAGTAATATGCCTTCCAGCCAAACATTCGATGCTGCACCATATCGCCCCTACACCCGGACCTCCAGTATTCAGCAAATCACGACGCCTCGCCCCCGACAAACTGAAAATCCCCAAGGCGAAGTTCGACAAAATGATGCAACTGGGAATCATTCAACGTTCGAAGAGCCCTTAGTCATCTCCGCTCCGCTTGGTACCGAAAAAGTCAGGCGAATGGCGCCCTTGTGTAGATTATAGACAATTGAACGCACGAACAATTGCGGATCGATATCCCGTTCGCGTTCTAGAGGACATCACTGTTAATCTCGCTGGGAAAACAATCTTTTCGACGATCGACCTCGTACGCGCCTTTAATCAAATACCTGTGGCCATCGACGACGTAAACAAAACAGTTATCATCACACCATTTGGCCTTTTCAAATTCCCGTTCATGACGTTCGGGCTTCGAAATGCCGCATAAACATTTCAACGGTTGATCGACGAGGTCACACGAGGCTTGGACGATTTCGCCTTTCCGTATATCGATGACATCCTCATCGCTTCCAAGGACATCGAGGAACATCGCAGAAACCTCCACACGCTCTTTGAACGGCTCTCGAGATACGGTGTTGTAATTAACACCGCCAAGTATCGTTTCGGCCAACCGGAGGTAGACTTCCTCGGCCATCGTATCTCGGCGCAGGGTATCTTACCGCTCCCGTCGAAGGTAGAGGCGATCGTCAATTTTCCTCGGTCAACATCCATTCATAAATTGCGTGAGTTCCTAGGTATGATCAATTTTTATCGCGAATTTCTTAAAGATGCTGCAAGATTTCAGGCTCCTCTCCATGAATACACTCAGAGTACTAATGTCAAAGACTCTCACCCTGTCGCCTGGACACCTGAGGGCGATACCGCTTTTACCGCCTGCAAGAAGGAGCTGCGAAAAGCAACGTTACTGGTCTATCCGGACACGACACTCCCGTGGGCTATCTTCACAGATGCTTCGGAATACGCCATCGGTCCTGCAGCAACGACGAGGACAGCACTGGGAACCACTGGCATTTTTCACCCAGAAACTACAACCTGCGCTGAAGAAGCACTGCCCTTACGATCGAGAGCTCCACGCCATCTACACTGCCGTGCGAAAGTTTCGCTACATTTTCGAGGCGAGGCACATCACGATCTTCACAGATCATAAGCCGTTGCTTCACGCCTTGTCCCAGGATCCCGACAGAGCCACGCCGTGGCAGTTCCACCGCCTGGATTTTATCGGCTAGTTTTCGACCGACATCCAGTACGTGGCCGGCAAGGCCAACGTTGTCGCTGATGCGCTTTCTCGTATCGAGGCAATCTCTGCTGCCGTCTCTACGAATGTTTGTCGAAGCTCAAGCCGCTGACGAGGAGCTCCAGCAACGTCTCCAGGGTCAACATCACGACGCTCTCGCCCTACGACCTGTCAATGTTCCAGACTGTGCCACGCCTATCTATTGTGACGTGTCTGGCGATCTGATTCACCCTTTCGTTCCTGTGCCGTTGAGAAAAAGAATTTTCGACGCTCTCCATAGCATTAGCTATCCTGGGGCACGAGCCTCAACGAAGCTGGTAACGCAGCGCTACGTCTGGCCCGATATCAACGGAGACTGCCGTCTATGGGCTCGCGCGTGCATCGCTTGCCAATGAAATAAGGTATCTCGTCATGTCTCATTTCCTATTCAAGATTTTCCAGGACGCACGCAGCGCTTCGAGCACATACACGTGGACATCATCGCACCGTACGTTCCGTCCAGAGGGTATCGCAACTGCCTGACGATCATAGACCATTTCACCAGGTTCCCAGAGGCGTTCCCCATCGAGAACACTGGAGCCGAGTGTGTCGCCCGAACGCTCTTTTCTAGATGGATCTGCCACTACGGAGTGCCGCCTCGAATTACAACCGACCAGGAGACGCAGTTCGAGAGCCAGCTGTTCAACGCTCTCCCTCGTCTTCTCGGTAGCAGACATATTCACACCACCACTTTCCATCCTCAGTCAAATGGAATGGTGGAACCTATACATGGTCATCTGGAGGACGCCATTCGCTGTCATTAAAGCGATTCGTGGGTGGACATGCTGCCTATCGTCCTTCTCGGAATTCGTGCCGTCTGGAAAGAAGACCTCGGCGCAACTCCTGCCGACCTCGTCCTCGGTGAACCGCTCCGACTACCGGGGGAATTTCTTGCTCCCTCGCCACCACGTGGGGTACCGCCTACCAATATCGCCGATTGTCTGAGGAATCGGTCCACCTTAGATGTTTTTAAGGCATAAATTACTTGGAGTAGAATAGCCCAAGGGATAATATAGATGTTCAATATACCGGTCGTAAAATGTCTTTGATTGTGATAATTCAGTATGGCTTTAAACGGGAAGGGTGGGGGGAGTGAGGATAATGAGACGATATGAAGAAGTTCTGAAATTCGGAGATGCGGAGGAGTCCACAATAGCTCAATTAGCAGAGCACCTGTCCGGCTAACAGAAGATGTAGGATCATACCCCAAGTATGATTTCAGTTAAAGATTAACTGCAATTTCACTACAATTGTCATTAACAGGCACGTTGTTGTCGGGGCAACAACTTTTCAAGGGAGCGAGTAGTGTGCTGTATTTGTTCTTTTCCTCCCTCTCAACTATCTTCACGTTCGATTCTCTTTTTTTTATTTCGTCATAATTGATCTCGTATCTTTTTCCGCGGTCGTGTCTTTTTAATTTGTACTCTTTTATTATTCATTTCGCCTCAAATTATTTTAATGAAAAGATTATTTATTAAGACGGGTCTCTTTCTTAACAAGAATAATAGCTAACGATATTAGTAATGAAGGCTGGGATTGGCCTCAATATTTTAGGCATAAGGATTTCCATTTTTTGAAAACATACATTGGGATGTATTCTGAAACGTACTACCAATGAAATTGGTAGAAATGGAAATAGGAGGAGAAAAAATGCGTGGAGAGTAGCAGTCATATGTAATCGTCAAATGGGTTACGTCGTGCTGCTCGTTTCGTTTTCATGAAAAAAGTAGGGAAAAATTCGATAAAGAATAAAGGGCAATTGGCCTTGAGGGTTAAATGGGTTTGGAAAGAGCAAACTGAGGAACACTATCATAACGAGATCAAGTAGGGAAGCCGGCTTATTATCTGATGGTCCTGAACTTATAAAATGTATATACATATACATTTTAACCTCGTCGTCCATCGGTTTCATCTCTATCTATTAATCTAACTTGACGAAAACCTCAGACATTTATTCAAAATATTGATTAGAAAATGAGGATTCAATGAAGAATCCATCCGATTATTCAATGAGTTTTATTACAATAACCAAGCATTCGTATCAGTAGATTTCATGGATCATAACAAATAATGAAGCAAAAAGCAGTGACAGGCAAAAATGTATTTAGCATTTATTAAGTACTTAAATACATGACTAATTATTACTCCGCGCCTAACAAAATATTAAATTCTGTAGTGTGTAAAAATCTTTGTTTTGATGTTTCTCGACCATTATTAATGACATTATTGGCTTCCGAATGGATGCCACGTTTGGTTTCAGCATTGCGCCGACGTTTCGCGAACATTTCAGTCTGCATCTTCAGGACAATGATCTCCGATTCTGAGCTCCGATATCTGGGGGTTATCCTTATATCTTCCCCTGTGATGATGTGGAAAGGGCAAGGGGGGGTCAGCCAATCGTATGTTTTTAATTAATTAGCTGGTCAATTAAAAAACCGGGAGCTGTTGAGGTTGTTAGGGTTTCTATGGATTTCCAAACTCTCTCGGTATTTCCTTTCTAAATACCCTTAAGATTTGGCCAACGTTCTGGCTTGATCGTACTGGATAGTATGTCCAGTGTAAATCCAGTATTCAGCCAGGGCAGACTGTTCTGAGTGACCGTATTTGGAACATCGCTGGTGTTCCTTGATCCATTTACTGATCTTCCTCCCGGTTTCTTCAATGTACACTTTCCCGCATGAGCAAGGAATCTCGTACACTCCTGGTGTGCTCAGGGGTGGTCCTGGATCGTTTGCACTCGGCAGCATCTGTCCGATCTTCTTTGAGGGTTGAAAGATCGTTCGGATTTTACGTTTTCCGAGTACTTTACTTATGCGTGTTGTTGTGCCTCTCAGATAGGGGAGGAGGGCCACTTTCGGTCTTTGCTGGTTTTCCCCAGGATCAGTCTCCTCTCGGGGAGCAGCTGGTCAATTAAAACATACGATTGGCTGCCCCCCCTTCCCCTTCCCCCACCATCACAGGGGAAGACATATAAGGATTACCCCCCAAACATTGGGGCTCAGAATCGGAGCTCATAGCCCTGAAGATGCAGACTGCAATGTTTGCGAAACGTCAGCGCAATACTGATACCAAACGTGGCATCCATCCGGAAGCCAATAATGTCATTAATAATGGCTGCGAAAGCTTCAAAACTAAGATTAAACGCCTCCACCGAGAGGCTATTCTTGTGTCGGTGAATTTATTCACCAAACTTAGGAAGTCCTTG